GCGTTGCTCTCTGTGTGCGTGACCCAGGTGTTCGCTGGCCTTGCCCGTGTGTGACTCAGTCATCTGAGAAGAGTAATCCTTAACGTCTCAGTGGTACCGGAGAAGAAATAAGCCTGTGAAATGTTGTGCGTGGCCGAAGGCTGCTGCGTGAACAGAGGGGATTTCTGCCCGTGGGGATGGCGTGGGTGCTTCAGGCCCCGGCACCTCTGCTGACGCTTGCTTCGCTTCGGTTTTAGATTCGCGTTCTGGTCACTGTGGAGTCCTCCCTCCCCTGAGGGAGGGGACAAGGCTGCTTTGCACGTGTCACGTGTGTGACGCAGAGAACAGAAGCACCCTTCGGGCTGGGCTCCCTGCCGGGTGCCCTGCTCTCAGTGTATCCGTGGGCCCCGGAGTGTCCACGCTGGTCTGGCCAGCCTGCTCTACCTTCATGCTTCTTCCAAAGAGAGCAACAGGCTTGCAGCCGAGCAGCGGGTCCCGAGTCCCGTGGGCCTGGGTCCCAGGGGTGGGGCCCTTCTGGGCAGGAAGCCGAGCCAGTGACTCCTCTGCAGGTCATCAGGATGTCGGGGGTAGGTGGGTTGGTGGCGATCAGGCCCTCAGCGTGTCACATGCACGTGCTGTTGCCAGCTCTGCTCTGACAGGGAGCTTGTGCTCTCTGAGAAAGCAGCCTGATTCTGGGGGTCCCGGGGTGCAGGCGGGGAGGTGGCTGTTCAGTCTGGAGCCTGACTCGGTGACCTTGGGCTGCCACGCCCAACTCTCGGGCCTGTGTAACTGCCGGGGAGACGCCCGGTGGCTTCCTGCTGGAGTCCATGGGGTTCCAGCGTGCTGACTTGTGCCTGAAAAGGACGTTTCCCTCACAGGTTGTATGAAGTAAATGTGGAAGATGCTAATGAAGTGGACTGGGAAGATCTGGCCAGTGCCATCGGGTAAGGCTGCCTGTTTACTGCCAAGCCAGTGAAGGGTGAGAAGGGCTCGATGCACGCCTGCCTGCCAGCCACATGCCCCGGCACGCAGGGCGGCATCTCTCCTCTTCTGCCTCCTGGCTCTTTTGGGGCCACGTAGGTCTGTACCCGGAAGTGTCTGTGACCCACTGTCAGGGAGCGCGTGTGGCCTACTCTCTTCTGCCCCCAGTGCAGGGAGCGCTGTGCTGGTGGCGACACTGTGTGCTTGGCTTTAGGCTGATGTCCAGGCGACTCCTCTCCCACACAGGAGCCGGGCTCTGAGGGTGTGGCGTTGGGCCAGCGGCCAAGTCCCAGAGCCTGCAGCGGGCCACGTGGGCAAGGTGATGGGAAACTAGCAGGAATCACAGCGGACCCTGAACCATGCAGGGTGTGGGCGCTGCCCCACCCCCTTAGTGGAAGGCCCAAGAGTAACTTTGGCTCCCCCAAAACTTTCCTGCAGCCACTGTTGCCTGGAAGCCCGGGTGACGGCGTGGGGCCAGGACTGGGTGTGAGGTCAGGGCCTCTGTTGTGAAGAGCATGGCGGAGCCCGGTCAGCGCTTCCCTCGACGCGCCTCCAGCCAGAACCACGCACGCCCGTCACGTTTACCATGAGCCTGATTCTTGATGCGGCACCATGCTCCTAGTTAAAAACTTCCCGGGCAGCAAGTTAACAGCTCTCATTTATAGAGCAGCCGGAGGTGTGGCTGTTTCTCCTTGGAAGCCTGTGGCAGATGAGCTCGGTCACTCACATCAGGAGCACTTTGCTGCTTTGCAAAATAAAACATCAGGCGGGCGTCCGCACGCGAGCCTGGAGCCTCCCGGCCACCGGTTTCCTTTCCTTTGTGTGTCTGACCAAGTGGGCGGTCGCCTTTCGCACGTGGCTGCTCTCAGTCCGCCTTTGTGGACACATGCGCGCGCTGGCACAGGGAGCCTGGTCTGGCGTGGTGCCTGCGCCCCAGTGACCCGCTCTCTGACTGACTCTCCTTTCTCTCTAAAGGGACGTCCCTCCATCTTACGTCCAAAGTAAGTTTTACAAACTGAAAGCCACCTGTGTCCCCTTTTGGCAGAAGAAGACTTTTCCAGGTCAGTACTTGAACCTGCGAGCGGCTGACAGTTACAACCAAACAGTTATGAGCAGTGTGAGGCGCGTCACGTGCTGGCGGCGTGACTTTGGGCAGGTGGCTTCACTGGGGGGGGGCCTCCGCCCTGACGGGGGGACACTGGCAAGTTAGAACCCCTCCCCTCCGTGGCAGCACGGGTGCTCCGTGAGGTGGTGCCCTGAGGTGAGGGTCCGTGTGGCTCGTGCGGCTGCCACAGGTATCCACCCCAAGAGCTCACGCTCAGGCTCCCGTGACGTGCCACTCACGTGGCTGCAGGAGAGCGTGAGCTGCCTGTCCCGTCCTCGCGGCCTCCTTGGCCCAGCCAGACACGGCACGCCCACCTGGAGCCTCACGGCGTGTGGGAGCAGCCGCCTGGCCTCCGCCGGCCTGCTCTCCGGGCGGGCTCCCCGTCCGCTGTGGCGCGGCGTCGGGAACTGCTGCTGGGTGACCCCGCAGCCTGCGGCGCGCGTCGGGGACTGAGTCTCGCTTCACCCCTGCTGGCTCTGGCCCGTGGGCATCCCACGGTATCTTCCTGCCTCGGTTTCTTCGTTGGGAAAGTGGTTTGTCTGCCCCTTGCTTGACCTCATCGGCATTTTGAGAGGGTTGAATGAGGGAACATGAGCTGGTCAGAGCAGTCATCGCTGTGACAGTCCCCATCTGTGCCCTCTGATCTTGGACCGTGCAGGGAGGCCAGTGCACTAAATCTCTGCCCTTTTTTCTCTAGAGATCATAGACTACCTCTATGAGACTAGTCTCCCTTTGCTGAAAGAGAAGTTACAGAAGAAGCTGGAGCGGAGGGGCACTGACGTCCCGGCCCCCGCAGTGCCCAGGCAGGTCTTCCTGTTCAGAGACATCTTCTACCACACCGACAGCAGCGAGGGGGAGGACGCCGGTCAGGACGGCTAGGCCGGCGCGGCCGCGGCCACCTCCCGGGCTTGCCCCGACCTGCGCCGTGTCCAGGAGCTGTCATCAGTGCCGATGTCCACTGATGATGGCCAGAGAGGGCGTGAAACGACACCTTGGATTGCGGGATGTCGGGAAATAATATATTCATCATCAAGTTTGGCTGTGACAGGAGTACTCGCACTGAGGTGACATTTCAGAGCCGTTAGGCTGAAGACAGTTGGCAGCCAGTGGTCTTACTAAACACTGTCCCAGTCCCCGCCGACTGCCGCGGAGGGCGGGGCCGCCCACAAGCCTGCGCGCTGCAGCTGTGGCGTGGCCGGGACGCCGTGGCTTCGGGGTGCACACCCTCCGGCCGCTGCCCCAGCGGTGCGTGTGCGTGCGTGCTTGGCCTCAGGGCGCGTGAGCTTGGAAAGTGCTGGGTTGGGAGCCACCGGTCTGCGTCCCTCACGCAGCCTCAGTCCCACCACCCTCTACAGTCTGGTCACGTTGAAGGCTACTTGGCCTCACCCAGGACGCCCTGTCGGCCAGTCACGGCCTCACCTGCCATCCGCTGGGAAATCCAGCCCTAACCGGCATCCCTCCTCTTGGAGGGCTTGTCGGGAAGGGTGCCCTGTGGGCCGCGGGCATAGTTCACACCTGGTGGAATTTCCAGGATCATTTTAGCATTGGGCTAGTGCCTCAGTCAGGAAAATAAAACCACCCTGAGATTTCAAACAGGGATTTGATGTAGCAATTTAGGCCACAGAATTGACCCACAGGCTGGAAGAGGAGGGTGGCTTGCCCGGCGGTGGGGAGCCGAGGAGAGCTGCAGCGCCCACGCCACTGCCTGCAAGCCCTGGTGCCCGCTGCCGCCGCCCTGGAGAGGCCGTGCTCTGTCCCTTTCCTGTCACGCGCCCGCAGCAGCAACCTGCTTCTCCTTGGGCTGCAGCAGCCCCTGCCCCCAGCCTGTGGTCCTCGCTAGCGGCCCCCCTCTCCCCCCGGGGACCCCTTGTCTGCCCTGCTGTTGGCTCCTGGGCGCTGCTGTGGCGGCTGAGTGTGCTCAGTGCATCTCCCAGTATCTGCGGCGCTGGGAGAACCCTCCGAGCAGCCCACTAAGGTGTTGGGGTGAGCCCAGCCCCGGAAGGCGCTGTGCAGATGCACACTCGGACGCCTGGGTTTCCCTGACCGCAGGCACCTCCCTGGAGCCCCGGTGCGCGCCTCCGTGCTCACGGGGTGTTGTGGGCTGCGCGCCTTAGGGATCAGTCCGCTGAGACGCGTCAGCGCTCACAAATGTGCATGTTCTGCGATGCTGTAATTTCACATTGGGAACCTAAAGAAATAATTGAGCTAGTGTGTAGGAATGACCAGGTGGGATCCCCATTTTTATAGTATGAAAAAGAAAATATGTAAATAGGAAGTTTATACATTTCTTAATCACGAACTTGTTAAATTGTATATTTCTTGGGTGGACTGTTAGGCAGTGGCGGAATTGCAGTGGTGGATTTGGATGGTATTATCCATGGAACATTTAATTATTTCAGAAGAGATCTATTTTCTTGATTTTTGTATAAGGAAAAATAAAAAGTAAAGGAAAAGGAAATTGATTGTGTGCACACATGCATTAGATATACGGCAGAATGAACCCCGAAGCGGGCGCCGGCCCTCTGGTGGGATGGCGGGTCCAGGAGCTGCCGGGGTCTTGGTCCCAGGAGCCGGCGCTGGGAGCCGCCAGAGGCAGGGCCCACAGTGCTCTCCCTTCTCCGGAGGCCGCCACAAGGGGTCCGCTGGCCTCGGGACTCCCTCCTAGGGCTACGTGTTTGAGCTGTCGTCTGCCCCATTCAGAGGGAACTTTTCTTAAGTCCTGGTCTAGTGCCACGCTGGAACTCGTGCTCCGGACACTGTGCAGCCAGGAGGGCAGGGCCCACACAGCACCGCCACTGTGGCAGGAAACAGGACCGGCTTCACTGCTCTGGACTCTGGGGTTCAGCTCAACATCCTTGAATGCCTGGGCAGGTGGACAGGGAAGAGGAGGTGTGTAGTGTCTGAAGACCTGATGTGCAAACAGCCCTGACCCTTACTGCGACTTTTACCCAGTAACAATGTACTTTGTAAACATTTTGTTTCCGTAACTTCTCACCTATGGCCGTGCCCCGGCCAGGGAAAGGAGGTGAGGCCATACCATCTTTGCTGTATACCCCGTTAGCCTGTAGGTGCCCAGGAATGACCAAGGAAAGCCGAAGGGCAGGGCGGACCATTCATCAGGACAGGCCCAGGGCAGAAGCAGGTGGCGAGGGGACACAGGGCCAGCCGGGCGGTGCAGGTTTGGAGTGCTGACCCAGTGCGGTCCAGGGAACGGATGTAAGGGAAAGGCACCTGGAGATAGATTTGCTCAGCTCCGTGAAGGGGAGACTAGAGGCCACAAAATGGACAGCTCCAGCTTAGAGAGCAGGCAGGGGAGAAGGCCTGCGTGATGTCTGTGCTTGGGAGAAAGGGAGAGGAAGCGAAGGCTCGGGGAACGGCCGGGAGAGAGAAGTGCCCGTGTCCCGGAGCACGGCTGGGTAGCTGCTTGCTTCCGATTAGCTGGCTGCATGGTGACCTGTTGCTGGTATCTCTGGGCACGTCATTCCGTGTTTCTAAGCAACATATGACTGTACACGCCTCCTAGGCAACACTATGTTTTCAAATATAAGGCATTTGGGGGAGACAAAACCGCGGGAATGGTAGGGGGCAGGACTGGATGCAGAGCAGGTGCGCACGCGGGCTGGGGCAATGGGAGGCTCTGGGTGGCGTCGCCATGGTGGCCTCCTGTTGCTACACTTCCAGCCCAACAGGGAAGCCCGACGCTGTGAGTGACTGGGCACGCTGCGGCCTCCATGATAATGACTCCTCCACGAGGCACCAGTTACAACAGACACCTCTGGAACAGGATGTTGATAATGGGGTCAGTGGGGCAGTAGGGGGTATTGGGGAGCTCTCTTGATTCTGTTACGAGCCCAAAACTCCTCTCAAAAAATTAAAGCTGTAGAAAAAAATTGGTCAGAGGACTCAGGCAGATAAGTCCAGGAAGGTACGTTGCCAGGGGCGACCTGAAGGATGCACCTATCAGTTATCAGAGAAGACGTGCGTGCACGGATACCCACCAGAACGACCACTGAAGAGGCAGCGCAAGTGCTGACAACTTGTGGAGCAGGTGGAAAGTACTCCAGTATGGATCATAAGCTCTTCTAAGAGTAAGAACACCTCTCCCCAGTGCCCCAGCATCCACGGCTGGCTGTCTATCCAAGGGGGTGAAAACATTAGAAGACTGCACAGTGATGTACAGCAGCTTTCCTCGTGGTGGTAGAAAATGGCCACAGTTGCCATTGTCGGATGAGCGGCAGCCACGGGGCTGAGAACACACGCCACCGCGAGAGCCCACTCCAAACAGACGCAGGCGGATGCACGCGGCACCCCGTGGACCCCTTTTTGTTGAGCAAAATGCAGACACAGAACGGTATCTAGTGTGTAATTCCATTGGTAGTTTCCCAGAATAACCTAGATCTAGGGCGATGACTGGAATTAGGTCAGCGGCTGTATCCGCTGCGTGCGGAGAAGGGGGTTTACTGCCAAGCAGCCCCAGGTTTCATTTTGGGATGAAGATGAGATCCCGCCAGAGTAGAGGGTTGTTAAAACGCCTCAAACTGGGGCCCTCCCTGTGGTGCAGCAGGGCAGAGCACAGCACTGTGAAGCCCGCAGCCACTGCAGCAGGAGTCCGATACCCGGCCCAGGGGGTGACCCACAGGGCATGGCATGACCCTCCTGTCTCCCCACTGTGCCCCTCAACAGTACATTTTCAGTCAGTCTGCCTGTTCTGCTCTCCGCTCTGTCTCTGGTGAATCCTCTCACCCCCCTGCACTTCTGGCCTGCACCCCAGTTCCTATGCATAAATCTTAAAGCGTTATACTTAAATCTGTGTATTATAGATTGTCATGTTAAATCTTGTCAGTTGACAGAAATGGGAGTTTTTGCGCGGGTAACTGAAGTTTATGACACCCGAGTATGTAACTTGTATAGAGTTGTTTACAGTTAATTTTTTTCCTGGAGTTGCATTTTTTATGGGGTTTGTCCATTTAAAAACACGTCAGTGGTGTTAATTCACTTCCAGTAAGTGATTTTATTGCAGTCTTCTAAAGAATACAGTTCTGGGGTACAGGCCAGAGGGCCAGGGGCAGTGAGAGGACTCACCAGAGACAAAGTGGAGAGCAGAACAGGCTGACTGACGACGTCCACTGCCGAGGGGAGCAGTGGGGAGGCAGGAGAGGTCTGCCGCGCCCTGTGGATGACTCTCCCACTGTGTCATTATGTTGGTGGTTCAGTCAGTGAGATTTGCCCCCCTGAACTTTCACCTTTTTTCTGATTTTACCAGAAGTCAAAAACACTTTCGGGTGTTCCTGAAAGCCCCGGGCACAGACAGGTCCCGGGGTGGGGGTCGCCTGTCTGCACGTGGCGTGGCAGCTCAGTGTTTGTTCCAGGCTGTCCACCAGTGTCGCGAGCAGATGTTCTCTGGTTTCCCTGAATAAATTCTGAGTCAGTGTTAGGATGCTGTCACTTCACACTTTTATTTCACACAATAATTAAATAGGTGGGCGGCAATATATTAATTCAACTTGCAGCCTTAAGCACCTTCGTCTTTTCCTCTCTCCTCTGAGGCTACCATGCGGTAGGTGGAGAAAAAGATGAAGGTATTTACAATGATCACAACACCAACACCAACACCGACTACTCTATCGCGGCCACTCGTCCTCTCGGCTGCAGCAGGCACAGGAGCCCGCCACGACTCTAGCGCGTAGACAGGTGCTCTGGTGTTCGAGGTCCCTTCTCCCAGACAAGTGTCTCCTGCAGGTGGCCTCAGGCTCCCTGGGGCCATCCCCGCAGAGGTTTCCCGGTTCCAAGGGCGGCTGGACCACAGTCTGCTGACCCGTCCAGCAGGTCTAGTAATTCGTGGGTCTCGAGGGGGCACCTCCTGCAAAGCCAATGGGGGGAGAGAGAAAGGAGACCAGGTGCATAAAGAAAGACAGAGTCAGTCTGAGTCGCGTCAAGTTCTCGTTTATTGAGCAGGGTGCGGGTATTTAAGCTTGCAGAAAGGGGGAGAGGGACCCATCATCATCTCTTTGTCTCTTTGGCGCCAAAGCTTGCTGAGCAGGAAAGGAAGGAGTGGGGGAAGGGATTCGTGTGTGCTGCATTCTCAACCAGGATGTTTACTCTAAGTTCCAATCAAGTGTTGTTTTGTGCATAGGAGGCAAAGTCCTGGTCTCGGTCCCGACAGTCTGCCAGCCACGTGGAGCAGGCCCTGGAGCAGAGTCTCCTGTCTGGCTCCGGCCTCAAAGGCAGCGCTCTGGCCCGTGCAGAGCCAACAGGTGCCGAGGGCAGAGTGTCCGTCCGCGGGCAGAGTGTCCGTCCGCAGGCAGAGTGGTATGGCTTCCGAGGGCTCCCGGGCACCACAGGGCTCCACAAGCGAGGGTTTGCAAGGGTTTTCAAGCTCAATTTCTACCTTACCTGTCTTAAGCGCACACACCAGTCACACCCTGCATGCGGGGGCAACTCCCGCACAGACGCGGCAGCACACACCGCACCGCGGCGCACAAGTCCAGGCGCCTGCGGCTGGCCCGTACCTACTCAGCAAGCTGACCGGTGGCCCGCCCCGGCTGCCTGCCGATGCCTCAGCTGGCTGTCCCGTCACAGCCCCGCTCTCCTGCCCTCGGTCCCTGTGGGTGGACACAAGTGTGCGGCGGCGCTGGCCGTGCGCCCAGCTCGACGGTGGCCAAGGCCGGCCGGCCCTGCTCCTTACAACCCGAGCTGGGCGGCGGCCTGCGAGGCGCGGACAGCGCTGGGCGGCGCGGGCAGGGAAGCGTGCGGTCTCTTCCAGGCGCCTCACACCGGCCAGGCGCTTCCCGAAGGGCCGCGGGAACGGGTGGC